TACAAGGTTGACATTTGCATGGAACTGCTCAATTTTAAGTTGACTAATAATACAATTGAGTTGTCCCAAAAAAACTCTCAATAATTGTGTTGTTTGAGCTCATTTTAAATTATTTAAAAAACAAACAAAAAACAATTACTGCTTATGTGAGGTGTTTCTAATGCATCATTGATGGCATCTCAAACTGTTTTTATTTTGTTCGAAAGTCATGAAAACACCATCATGTTGAGTTTTTTTCTTTTATTATTTGAGTATATAATACTAAATATAAATACTGTTACTATTTGTTGAACCCTCCCATTCATTGCTCTCTAAGTTTACCCAACTATGGCAACTTCCACTGCTGCGAAACCCCGAAATGTTTCTGGGATAATCTGGGATAATTGAGACTTTTAGTGATTATAGATACGTGATAGGTTTTGTTTGATCAAAACAAACTCTGATGTTTATATGAACACCGCTGCACTGAAAAAAATATTATTTGGATTTACAATTATTTTTTTAAGGTATGTAGTTGCCAACAGTTTTTATGGGCTGAACAAACAAATTCAATTATTAATTTAATTTGTTTAAAATGTATCCCACTACTTACTGTACCTTAGATAAATTTGTAAAACCAAGCTTAGTATCAAAGAAGTGTATTGAGACGGCTGAAAAGATGGCTTTTAGTCCACTTTCAATTCAACTGAATTATGAATGCAACACGTACACACCAAAGACATCTTATAAAAAACAAAATCAGGATATAATTTATGACCATAAAATGACAAAATTGCGCACGATCCTGTTCTTCCAAGTGTAATGCAGGTATCAGAAATGGATCTCCTTGCAGCAGATCTACATTAACATGCGTGTGACAAAGTAATTCCTGTTGCAACAGCTGTTTTGACCCTTTGCCACTCTCAGGCCATGTCCACACTTATGCGTTTTCATTTAAAGACGCATATTTTTGTCTCCGTTTTGCCCTTCCATCCACACTGAGATGCGTTTTTAGGAAACAAAAACGTATCTTTTTGAAAACGCTCTCCAAAGTGGATAAATTTTAGTCTTTCGAAAACGATGACGCATTTTTTGTCATGTGACACTCAGTCATGTTACTAATTCGTTTACTTTATTTTCGTTGTGTGTATGATTTTAGTGATGTCGTCCTTACTGTGAGGATAAGCAGCGTCATCAGCAGGATACCGTTCTTTAAAGCGGTCCAGTATATCGGCGTATTTGTTTTGGCACGTCTCCCAGTCTACATTTTCACTCTCTTTTGCAACTTTGTATTCATGTGTTACTCGAAGCAGCAACTCTACTTCATTGTCAGTCCATTTAAAAAAAACTCTTTTTTAAAACTCGCTTTTCCTCGACATTTTGCCGCAACGTTTCAAAGAGCCGGAAAGAAAATAAACGTCAGCCGGAAATGACGCGTGCCGAAGCGTCTTACATTTCACGCATGCGCAGTACAGGTTGAAAGCATTTGTAGTCGTTTCAGTGTGGATGACAAAGTTTTGGAAAACGAATAGAAACGACAGTGTGGACGTGAAGCGTTTTTAGAGGAAAACTCCGTTTTCAAATTTATCCGGATTAGTGTAGACATGGCCTCAGTGATTTCTCAACTAATAAAATCACAATTTTGTTTTGCATATTTAAATTGGGTCTTAAAAATGACACAGGACCATGGTTACACGAATCATTCTCTTTTGGTCTGGACTAAACAAAGTGAACTGGACTACAAGTATGAACACAGTTTTGTTAAATCACACTTTAATCTAGTGGAAACTGGGATTATGACTATTACAGATGCTTCTTTAAATTTGATTTACTGCAGAAAAAACTCTGAGTATATTCTTTCCCAGACTGTTTTACTGGATTGAATTAGATCAGTGCTGGAGTGAAAGGAGCAGCTTGTTTCATTATGCACATCACATTTTAAGAGGCTATTTTGGTGCAAATCAATGCCTTTCACTAGCCTGTTGCTCTGTGCTGTGTTTTTATGTTTACCTCCTTGAAAATTTGTTAGAAAATAGGTGCTGGAATGGTTGTTTCAGAATGTATCAACTACTATTTTCATGGATTCTTACTGCTAAAAATCATAAAGTTTGTTAAATAAAGATTATCAGTGATTGTTTGAGTCTGGGACATGGATGAGATGTATGTTTCAGTCTTTATGCAGATACTAGTGCTGCCAAACGATTGATCATGATTAATCACAGCCAAAGTAAAAGTTTTATGTATAAATGCAATATCCATAAATGCAATAGTGAACATGTTTGTAGTACTAATGCTGTTTAACTTGAACTGCAAAAGCCTGGTTTGTTCCTGCTTCGACTAAAGTGCAAAAGCAGTGAAGTGTGTGCACTTGGGCACATCCATATCATATTAAATCTACGTAAAAAAATCAATGTTGATAACGATGATAAACTGTGGATTTTTTTTATAATTGCGCTGATTTGAACTGATTTGGGGGTGGCACTGTGGCTCAGTGGTTAGCGCTGTCACCTCACAAAAAAGAAGTTTGCTGGTTTGAGTATTGGCTGGGCCAGTTGGCATTTCTCTGCATGTTGTCCCCGTGTTAGGATGGGTTTCCTACAGGTGCTCCGGTTCCCTACACTGAAAAAAAAAAAAAAAAAAAAAAGATTAAGGTCAGTTATTGCAAACAATTTATATGGCTGAATATAAACAAACAAATGGAATTTAGTAATGTTCAAATTAATTTCATTCTTTCATTCATTTTCTTGTTGGCTTAGTCCCTTTTTTAATCCGGGGTCACCACCGCGGAATGAACCGCCAACTTATCCAGCAAGTTTTTACGCAGCGGATGCCCTTTCAGCCACAACCCATCTCTGGGAAACATCCACACACACATTCACACACACACCTATACACTATGGACAATTTAGCCTACCCAATTCACCTGTACCGCATGTCTTTGGACTGTGGGGGAAACCGGAGCACTCGGAGGAAACCCACATGAAGGCAGGGAGAACATCCAAACTCCACACAGAAGCGCCAATTGAGCCGAGGTTCGAACCAGCGACCCAGCAACCTTCTTGCTGTGAGGCGACAGCACTACCTACTGCACCACTGCCTCGCCTCAAATTTATTTGTCTATTGAAAAAATAAGATATTTTGAAGAACACTGGTTGCTGGCACCAATTGACTTCAATAGTATTGGCTATTATGAAAGTCAATGGGTGCCAGAAACTAGCATTCTTCAAAATATCTTCTTTTGTGTTCAACAGAGGAAATAAAGGTTTTAAATCCCTTTAAGTCTGATACATGGATGAGATCTCTGAATGAATTCTGAGATCTCTGTAAAGTCTGAATGGATTAAAGTACCCTGCCTCCATATGGAAATGTCAATGGGAACTCAACTATCAAATCCTCTTATTTATTTTAGTCTCCATACTTTGACTTTATTCTTACCCAGACTGTGTTTTACTAGCTTATTTTAGATGACTTCTATTTTAAGAGTCTTTTTTTGGTGCAAATGGATGCATTTTTCTGGAAGTTCAATAGCCTTCTGCTCTGTGCTGGATTTTTTTTGTTTACTCTTTGAAATCGACGCTAGAATTGTATCAGAAATTATGTCCATATATCAAAAGAATCAAAACTTTTCTAAACCCTAAATTAATATCGGAATTACTTTTGCACACTGGAGGGAAATGACGTTATGCTGTTCAAAACAAGGCGACACCGTTGCTAACGTCATTTCCCTCCAGTGTGCAAAAGTAATTCCGATATTAATTCAGGGTTTATAAAAGTTTTGATTCTGCATTTTTGACTGAAGCCCTTTCAGACAATCTTACTTTTCATGCATACAAGGCCACGCTGGTCTTTCAGAAAGAAGTTGAGGTTGATGCAGAGTTTGCGGATGACGTCTCTCCGTCAGCGGTAGATGCGTGCTTCATGTGAATGCGCGAGTGACATATCTGTCTGCTTAAAGAGGCTGCGCAGAAAGTTAAATTTAATTGTGTTGACAGACAGACAGTTTGAGATAAACAGTTTGTCATAATTGAGTTATTTGTCGGCCCGACAATATTTAATTGGATGAACATTTTTTAGTTTTATGCCTTATATTGAATATAATAATAGATATAAAAACATTTAGATCATTTACTTTAATCAGCACTATTGGAATGTGAAGAGATTTTCAACCAGCACTGCAAAAATGTTTCTGAAGACAATCACCCACTGCACCTTAAATAAAAGCAGAAAGGGTGCATTTCAGGACTTGGGCCCTTTGGCTGTAATTGCGTAGTTTAAAAAAAAAAAATTTAATCAAATTTCCTTTTTGTGTCGTGTTTTTTTTATTTTTAATATCCTGTTCACCAACACTCTTTAACTTACTTTGTTGAAACAAATGCACGCTTCATAGCCGATCTATATATACAGATAAAAACGCTTTCTCTAAACAATTTCTATTTTTTTTTTTTAAAGGAAATGATACACATATTTGAGATATTTGGCCGTCATTCTCAACTTTAGGAAACAGCGGAGACATCAACCCAATAATAATAATGATATTTTATTATTTAGCAGGCGATTCATTCCGCTGTGGCAACCAGATTAATAAAGGGACTTGGCCAAAAAAAAATGAATGAATGAATGAATATTATATAGGGGCGAGGCAGTGGCGCAGTAGGTAGTGCTGTCGCCTCACAGCAAGAAGGTCGCTGGTTTAAACCTGGGCTCAGTTGGCGTTTCTGTGTGGAGTTTGCATGTTCTCCCTGCCTTCGCGTGGGTTTCTTCCGGGTGCTCCGGTTTCCCCCACAGTCCAAAGACATGTGGTACAGGTGAATTGGATAGGCTAAATTGTCTGTAGTGTATAAGTGTGTGTATGAGTGTGTGTGTGAATGTGTGTGTGGATGTTTCCCAGAGATGGGTTGCGGCTGAAAGGGCATCCGCTGCGTAAAAACTTGCTGGATAAGTTGGCGGTTCATTCCGCTGTGGCGACCCCGGATTAATAAAGGGACTAAGCTGACAAGAAAATGAATGAATGAATGAATATTATATGGTGGTTAAGCCACTTTTTGGCAAAATAACCCAACAACTTATTTATTTTTGTAATGCAAATTGTTGGGTTAATCTTAGCAGTACAATGGCTAAGGTAAAAATAACCCAACAGCAGGTTGGTGTCAAAATGACTCATGATTGGGTTATCTGTTGACTTATTATTAACCCAACAGTTTTAAATGAGTATATAAATATCAACTGTACATCATGCTGTGAGATTTCTGTCATATCTCCCAACCCCAATTATACACAAAGAAGTTTTAGTTTCATTTTGTTAGCCCAAGACCGTCCAGAATCTCCTATTTCAGTTTTGGTTCAGAACTTATCGTTTCGATGCATCCCTAATTACATCTCTCCCACATGTGTCATTCCTGTAGATCTTCAAAAAAAAAAAAAAAATCTTGAGGAGTTTGAGATCCACTGAGTGCACTTTGAGAAACTCTACTGGTTGGGGGAGGAGGTTCGAGAGGAAAGCAGGGGGTGGAAGATGTGAATGAAAGTAAGTCTGAAGAAGAGAGAGAGAGATGAAAAAGAGGAGGGGCTACAGCCAACAAGGAGAGCTATGGGGAGAAATAAAGAGGCTCTCAGTCACCTCCCCCTCTCTCCTGTGGAGCCCAGCTACATGACCCCAAAAAAGAGAGAGAGAGAGAGAGAGAGACGGTGGGAGGGAGGGAATAAGTGAGTAGTGAGGAGGACAGCAGCGGCAGTATAGATGCAGCTCTCTTCAGCATGTCATGGATCTGTGGACTGTTCTGGGACCAGCGTGTGGAATAGTTATGCAGGATTTGGTGTGATTATCGTGATTTCGGGATGCCCTCCGTGTCTCTCAGTCTGCCCGCCGCTCTGGCCGGCCGCGCTCGTACCTGGGTCTGCCTGTCCTGCATGTTCTGGGTGAGCCGTGGGTCAGTCTGTTTGACTGGGGCGGGTGGGAGTGGGATAATTTGATGAACTAGAGGACTGCTGGAGCAAAAAAGGGGGCTGCTTGGGTCTTCATGCAGATTGAGTGTGTGTTGTGGTGTAAACTGATGCATTTAGTGTTTTTTTTTTTTTTGAGCGGGGAGTTGAACAGCCTGTTGCTTTGTGCCAGGTTTTTATGGACTGTATACTTCTTGAAATTGGTGCTAGAATTTCTGGGTCAGAACTTATGTCTGGTGCTTGCATTTTTTTCATGTATCATTATTTAAATAATTGTCAGTGAATATTTAAAGGCATATTTTAGCTTCTTCTGTTGTAAAAAAAAAAAAAAAAGAAGATACTTTGAAAAATGTTGGGAGCTGGCACCCATTGACTTCCATAATATGCACTATTATAGAGGGTAATGAGTGTCAGCAACCAGCATTCTTCAAAATATCTTCAACCATTTTATTTATTTTGTTTTATTTTTGTTTTATTATTATTATTATTATTATTATTATTTTATTATTATTATTATTATTATTATTATTATTATTATTATTATTATTATTATGTATTTATTTATTTATTATTATTATTAATATTATTATTATTATTATTATTATTATTATTATTATTATTTGGAAGTTCAATAGCCTGTTGCCATGTTCTTAATTTTTAGATATTCTTCTTAAAGTTGGTGCTAGAATTGTGTCAGAAATGTTATCTGGTGTTTTTTCCCATGGATTGAAAAGGCTGAACTCTGAATATTAATCATAATTTCAGAAAAATCAGTGATAATTGAAAGGGATAGTTCACCCCAAAGTTTACATTCTTGAATCAAATTTTATTTTATTTTTTTCTGTTGAACATTAAATAAAATTTTTTAAAGTATGCTAGCTGCTGGCACCTATTGACTTCCATGGTAGGGACAAAATGTTATATGGAAGTCAGTGGGTGCCAGCAGCCAGCATTTTTTAAATCTATTTTTTTTGTGTGTTCAACAGATGATAAAAACTCTTAAAGTTTAAACCACACAAGGCTCAAAAAAATGATGAGATAATTTTTGTCTGTTAAAAAATAAGATATTTTGAAGAATGCTGGTGGCTGGCACTTATTGACTATTATGAAAGTCAATGGGTGCCAGCAAGCAGCATTTTTAAAAATATCTTCTTTTGTGTTCAAAAGATCAAATAAAGGTTTAAAACCACATGAGGTAGAATAAATGATTGGGTCCCTTTAATTCTGAGACTGGGATGTCCTGTCTCAATATGAAATGTATGTCAATAGGAACTCTCATCAAATCCTCATATTTATTTTTATCTCATTTATTTTTACTCAGACTCTGTTGATTTAGATCACTTCTATTTTTAAGAATCTATTTTGGTGCAAATGGATGCATGTTTTATTTATTTATTTATCTTTGGAAGTTCAGTAGCCTGTTGTTGGGTTTTTAAACACTGTATACTTCTTGAAATTGGTGCTAAAATTGCAAGATCAGAACTTATCTCTGGTGCTTGGAGTCTTTCTTAGTTGTATCCTTATTTTAATGATTGCTTGTGATTATTTAAAGGGATATTCAGCCAAAAATGAAAATTCATTTACTTGTACAAAACCTATTTGAGCTTCTTTTGTTGTAAAAAAAGAAGATATTTTGGTAAATGTTGGTGGCTGCCACCCATTGACTTCCATAATATTAACTATTATAGAAGGCAATGGCTGTCAGCAACCAGCATTCTTCAAAAAACCTTCTTTTGTTTTATTTATTTTGTTTTTATTTTTGTTCTGTTGAACATTTCAAAAATAAAACGTATATATAAAGAGATAGATAGATTGAAAGATTGATTGATTGATTAATTGATTGATTGATTGATTGATTGATTGATTGATTGATTGATTGATTAAAAAAAATGTTGGTACCCATTAACTTCCATATAACTCTTTTTTTCAATATAAGTCAATCAACCAACATTTTATATTTTATAATAACCATTAATTATTTTAACAAACATATCTTCTTTTGTGTTTGATAGATGATAGAAACTCATGAAGGTTTAAAATCATGAGGGACAGCAAATGATAAAGTCATTTTTATTTTTGGGTGAACTGTCCCTTTAAGTCTGAGACTTGGGTAAAAGTCTCCACTTCTCCATATCAAAATATCACTATGAACTCTCATCCAATTCTCATATTCATTTTTTTCAGCCCAAAATTATGGTATTTTTTGCAATCATTTACTCACTTTTCACTTGTTTAAAACCTGTTTGAGGTTCCCTCTTCTGTTGAACATTACATAAAAAAAAGATATTTTGAAAAATGTTGGTACCCATTGACTTCCATATAGCTCTTTTTTCTACTATGAAAGTCAAGCAACCAGCGTTCTTCAGAATATCTTATTTTGTGTTTGACAGATGATAGAAACCCATAAATGTTTAAAACTACATGAGGGCAACAAATGATAAGCTCATTTTTATATTTGGGTGAACTGCCCCTTTATATCTGAGACTTGGATTAAAGTCTTAATTTCTCCATATAAGAATATGAATATGAACTCCCGTCCAATTCTCATATTAATTTTATCTCCATACTTTGACTTTATTCTTGCTCAGACTGTTTTAATAGATTGCTTTAGATCACTTCTATTTTTAAGAGTCTATTTTGGTACAAATGGATGCAGTTTTGGATGCTTTGTTTTTATGTTCACTCCTTGAAATTGCTGCTAAAATTATTGTGCAGTGTGTCTAAAATGTCACTTTTTTCCATGGTTTTTTACTGATATACTCTTCAAGTGACCTTAAATGTGATCATTATTTAAAGATCAGTGATAATTTTAGTCTGAGATTATTAGAATTTAAATGAACGTAAAGTGCTGTATCCAAATAAAAATATATGAACTCATGGATGTCTCATTCAGTCCTCATACACATTTTATCTCCATACTTCCAATCTATTTCAGACTGTCTTTCACTGGATTGAATTAGATTGGTGCTAAAGTGAAGTAGGTTGTTTCATCATGGACATCACATTTTAAGTGTCTATTCTGGTGCAAATCGATGCATTTTCAGGACTTTCACCAGCATGTTGCTCTGCGCTGTTTTTATGTTCACTCTTTAAACCAAACTGTTGGCAGTATGGTTGTGTCAAAATGTCCAAGCTGCTCTTTTCCATGCATTCTTTCTGCTGAACTTTGAAAGTGACCTCAACTTTCATTACTTCAAGATCATCGGTGATTATCTGAGTCTGAGATGTGGATGAGATGTCAGATTTAGAGATTAAAGAGTAAATGGTTTCTCCAGAGGAATATGTCTGCAAATGTTAACGTCTGAAATTTCTGTATAATCTCATTTTTTTGTCTTTACTTCAGTAGATCAGTGGAGATTCATTGTGTATATCCAAATACTATAGAATGCACAAGACGTGACACTCGTATGGTTTTGAATGGGGAAAAGTGTAACGGTCAATATGGCGAATGAAGCCCTGCCTTCTAGTACATGAGCCAATCAGTGATCGATAGACTGGTTTTGGCGATATAGGCGATTCTCAGGGGGAGAAGATCGGTTTCTGCAAATTTTGTGGGATTAAAATGTTTAGAAATGGAAATAAAAGAAACAGTTGTAGTTTTATTTCATTGGTGATTCCTAATTTGAAGGTTGGCAAGCAATTTTGGAGAATTTGATGTTTCCCCTATCAAACAGAATGCTTGAGCATACTGCCCGAGAGGTGTTTCAAAGATGACTGGCAGGTGAAATGACTTGCCTTAAAGGGACTTGGGTATATAATTTTTTAAGTGTATTAACTGTCTTCTTTTGGTATTTTGGTAAACTGTTTTGGACGTTTTCTTTAGCCAGTTGCTCTATGCTGTGTTTTTGTGTTCATTCCAGCCTGATCTCACGAGAAAATGTATTTTACGTTTTTCCAGTTTAGTGGCTAATTCGTACAAATTCGAGTTCAGTCGTACGAAAATGTACAATTTTAAAAAGGAGGTGTGGCACCTAACCCCACCCCTAAACCCAACCCTCATTGGGGGATGAGCAAATCGCACTAAATTGTATGAATTAGATCGTACGAATTCATACGGATTAGCCTCTAAATCAAAAAGTTATGAATTGCCGTGAGATTGTGTTGGTTTATTCCTTAAATTTAATACAACTTTTTGTGCCTGAATTGTTAAGTCAGAATCTTTTTACTGCTCTTTTCTATGCAACGTTAAGCTGCAAAAGATTATTAACCACAAAATTGATAGAGATTAAAGAGTAAATCATTTCTCCAGTGGAAAACATGTGCAAATAATAATGTCTGAGATTTCAGTATGTACTTTGTTTTGTCTGTACTTTTACTTTACTATAGAATAGTATGAATAGATCAGTGGAGATTGATTCATTGCATATATTTGAAGTGTGTTAAATGTCTGTTTTTGGTGCAAATGGATGCATTTTTTCACTATTTTCTTTAGCCAGTGGCTTTATGTTCTCTACTTAACAATTCTGACACAAACTTTCTTATTAAAGTTATGTCAGAATCTTGAACTACTATATTCTATGCAACGGCAAGCTGTAAAGATTATTAACCCCAAAAGTGTTAGAGGTTAAAGATTAAATCGTTTTTTCGGATGAAAATATTTACAAACACTAATGTCTGAAATTTCAACATAATATATATTTTTTTTGTCTGTACTTTTGCTTTACTTCAATGGATCAGTGCTTGGAGATTGATTCACTGAGTTTATCATAATTGAAGAGTATTAAATGTCTGTTTATGGTGCAAATGGATGCATTTTTTGTTTAGCCAGTTGCTTTATGTTTACTAAAATTTTTATTAAGACATTTTGTGCCAGAATTGTTGTGCTAATAGATGGAGATTTCTTGGATTCATTGTGAATACATTTTTTAGTTGTATTAACTGTCTGTTTTTGGTGCAAAAGGATGCAATTTTGGATGTTTTTTTTAGCCAGTTGCTCTATGCTGTGTTTTTATGTTCACTCTTTATATTTATTACAA